AGCAACCAGTTTGATTGTCGTCAATATAATTGATGCCAATGCAGCTCTTACACGGTCAATGTTTTTAAGAAACTCGACATTGACTCAATAATGATGAACGGAAGGAGACCTTGAAGGCAGGAGTTATATTGAAGCTATCGGCATAATCTCCTGTGATTATTTTGATTATTTTATAAAAGGTTCTGAAGATGAACTGAGTACTTTAAAAACTTATTTCTAGGAACTAGAAAACATAATTAAGTAGCTTAAAAATAAATTACTTGATGGAAGTAAATCAATATTAAAAAAAATATATTTGAATTAAAAAAAATAAAAATAACAATATCTAAATGACTTTATAAATCGCAAAATTCTATACATATTATGTTTGTGTATTTGCATATCTAATTAAAACGTTGGTAGGTTAATATTGAAATAGACATCTACGAATATTTTAGCTTGGAAAATAAATTAAGAAGAAATTAAAAAAAAAAAATGATAAACAGAATAAAGTAAAACTGAGCAAACAGTTATATAAAATAATAACAAGTAGTAATAAAGAAAGTGCAGTGATAAAAGTAAAAATAGATATTATTTCTAAGATATTTTTTAACGTTTAAAACTTCCACTTTGCTTAGATCAACGTCGGACTATTCCTTTATCTTCATAACTTATATCGTAATTTTATAATATTTGGTTTGCGTTAAGGGCAGAAGGGAGAGACAGTCCTACCCTGGCTACAAATGCGAAGGCCCCATGGCAGCAGCTTTTTTTAGTAAATAAGTTTTTTATTGAGAACTTTATTGCAAACAAAAAGGAAAGTAAATACATTTCACAAAAGTTTATAAAATAAAGAGAAACGTCATTAACCTAGACGACGAGTCCGAAACCTTGACCTAGTAAAGTGGAGGAAATTAGTAAGGGTTAAAAAATAAATTTGGAATGAAAAGTGAATTGAGTATCACAGTAACTTTTCCAACATTTTATGATTACATCACCTTCTTGATTCAAAGAGGAAAATTGTCACTTTTTGAGTAATACCGGTTTTCTCCCAAGTGTTTTAAACTTATAAATATATCGCTAATTCATAATTTGAATACAATTTTTTAATTTAATTAATTAATATTTCGTATCTTTTTTTATAATTTAATTAAGAATCTGTAAAGACAATTGTCACCGAATTTACACATTTTTTTTATTCTTAGAGGATAATTTCTTTATAATATTTTTTTTTATAACATCCCATTTCTAAATGCACACGCGTAACATTGATGAAAAGAACATAATTGCCAAAAAGAAAGGATTTAACATAGAATTATTTTCCTTCTATGAAAGTTATAACCACTGATATCACTGCCCAAAATTGTAACATCTTTTGTTTATATTTTCACTTACTAAAGTAGTTATCAACAAACGACTCAGCCACACATTTTGTGCGAATTTGATTCGATTCATATCGGAATGAATACTTAAGTATAAATAAAACATCTACACGCGGAACCCTGAATCTGATATAAGAAAAACAAATATCATGTAAAAATGCGGTTTGAAAAAAAAAGAAGGAAAATGTAGGATAAGACTAGGTGTTGAAGAGGATGAGTGTAGTACTTGGCGAAACCGCGAGCGCTGGTGGTGCAGAAATTATAGCAAATCAATAACGCTTGACAACAGTAAAGATTGTGTAGTCCAGTCAAAGGGTCACCCAAAACGACAAATGGAGCAAATCTGTGTAGTTTTTTATGTTTAGATCCTTTTCCTTTTTTTAAGTCACTCTCAATGGAATCCATCTCGAATTTCTTCCTGAGTAAAAAAGGTATATAAAAGAAATGGAAATAAATATCTAATAACTTAACAACCGTGAGCTTTCCTCTAAAGTTGAACAATGATGTTAATCAAACAAAATAATTTTTATTATAATAAATGTATTTATTATAATAAATGTATGTAGTTTGTATTTATTTATTTTTTTCATATTAGATCACTCAATAAACCATGGCTAACTAAAAAAAAATAGTTGTTAGGGACGAATAGTCATCCCTTCCTCTTCCCTCCACTAATTTTTATTTGAAAAGGTAACATATAAAAATGTAAAAATATTATTAATACGGTCTTCTTTGTTTTTGATGTCTAAATTTCCTTAATTATGTGACTTGAACGGGAAAAACATCTTAACTTTTGTTAAATTCTTAAATTCTCGGATTTGAGACCGTTTATTTTTAGCTAGTAATATATTTTTTAATTTCAACGTCTACGAGAAGTAGCAGACACCTTGTCCTGATGATGCTTCTTAATCGCGAGACCCGAATTATACCAGTGACATGGTTAAAGATATCAAAATATTATAAGAAGAACCCCAGGAATATTTATTATGGTAAGAAACAGACTAAATTGTTCTTCTTCATTAAATAAGTTGGGTTATTTAATTTATAACACAAGATTACAAGAATAGCCCAGGATAAGTGCCCACTTACAAAATATATTTTGTAATTCAAATATAAAGAACAAATATAGAAATAATTTCTAAAATCTAAACCTCTCTTGTTCAGAGATGTGAATGTTTTAAAAAATTATATTCAATAATATAAACCATGACATTCAGGAGATTCATCCCTCTTTACAATAGCGTATATGCCATACAAATTATTGCTTTCTACCGTTGTTTTAAGCTGATATTAAAGACCATTTTAAACTAACATTAACGAAATAGATTTATCAGATTTAAGACAAGTTTCTTAGGTTGAGTGATATGAGTTTCTGAAACAGTAGGAGAACGGAAGCATTACGAATACCTCAGGAGTGACCGGAAAACATTAAATATATGAAGAATCTCATGAACCTTTTGGAAAAATAACATCATTATGACTGGTTTAGTTACCAAGTCATCTGTTAAGGATGAAGGACTTCCCTGGAGGGTATACCGATATATTTTAAAAAGTTAATAGAACTTTATAGATGTTTAAACTCTCCGATTCAATGAAGAACGCCAATAGTTTCGGTTGAGAATCTGCATAACTTGCAGTAACGGTAGATAAAATATTCTCGTCGTGACAATTTTTTTATAGTGGCACGAATGAACTGATAAAAAAACTTTTACAAAAACAGAAGCGATGACAATATTCTGCTTTACAATATTCCAAAGCAACAGTTTAGGCCTTGATTATAGAAATCTTGACAACTTAAACCGGAATTAGTTTCTAAACGAGAAGTAAGTGCTAGGCAACTTTGCCAATGGAAGTAATTCATGGTGGGATGGGCCAGAACCTGCTGCCGTGTACATCTCCCCCTTCTCCCCACATCCCTATGAATTGCATATCGTTGTGTTTCTTGTAACTGTTTATTTAAAAAAAATCAATGTTCCCACAAAAAAAAGTGAACGTTCTACCTCAAAATGGAGCCCAAACATGGCGGACTGACGACTTTGACTTTAGTTAGTTTTTTGGTCACTGTGAATCAGCATCATTTGGCTTGATTTAGTCATAGTTGGCATTTTATTAAAACTGAATAGTCAAAGAATAATAAAACATGAAAAAAACACCAGTAGTCAACTTTTCAACGAAAAACTTTTTAAGTTGAAAATCAAGCGTCGTTTGTAATTAAATGGTTAACAATAGCAGGAAAAGTGCTGTTGTTTTTTTTTAGTATTACTTCCTCTATTCTATACGAAGGTCGTTTAAGAAGGTCTCTACTGTAAAAATGATACAATTATATTAATAAAACTTAATTCAAAAATACTTCACTGAATATCTTCAACCTTTTTATTTAACGTTTGCAATTTAACACTTTGTTCTGTGTATTTACTGATTCTTAGAGGTAATTTAAACTATAAATACTTCTCCAGAAATTAGTCATATTAATACCTGTTTTATAAACTACAATATATATATATAATCTTTACTACATATAATGAATAGTTCCGGGGTTGTTTAGTAAAACTCATATATCACTATTAAAAAAATTAATTAAATTTTTTATTTCCTTTATATTGTTCGGAAGACGAGCCATAAAAAAAACAGGAAATGTTAATATTGAATGCATTATTCTCTCTGCTTCAAGAAAGAAAAAAAGGGTGAAACTATATGTTCTTCTTAGTAACCAGAACTAATTGTTAGCAGTTGGTCTCAAAATGAGGGAAAACGCGGAATTGAATCCAAAAATTGGAAAAATACATTAAGCGAACGAGGAAGGAATTGCCAAAATCTTGGAGAAGAAAACAAGGATCAGTATCCATTATATGGCTAAACGAATATATAGTAGACAGATGAACAGAATATTTCAAGAAGCTGTTAAAAGGGAGTCAAATGTGGCGGCAGTTCGGGTGATATTAAGGAGAAGATGGAAGTTTATAATAAACCTCCATCTTCTCCTTAATATGATTACTTAATATGATCACCATAATGGTGAAGATCATTTTATTTTCGATTGCTACTTAAGTTACATATTGATATTATCTTCATTTTGAAGCAGGTTATAGAGAGGTCCATCGAGAAAGGGAAGTAGCCCTCCTTCTCTTTAGTAAATTTGGGAAAGATCTTTAAAGGAATCATATAGGAAAACGAGCTTTTCTGAAAGGCAAATAGATATTAGCACAATGTAGGGAGGTTATCTACCTATGATAAAGTATTATTGTGCTTCTCAGTGTTTTGTATTTTTCAAGTTTGTTCTGTTAATTTTGTTGTATCGTTTCCTACTGTTTGTGTTATTTTAGTGTTTTATAGTTTTTTGAACATGATTTAGTTTTAGTTTATGTTTATTTAGTTAACTTTATAAACTTTTTGAGTGAACAGTGGAGGTTAAGGTTAACTTTGTGGTTTTCACGAAGGTTTAATCTAACCAAAAGGACGTTTAGAGACTATTACGTTGGTGAAGCACTAAGGTAAGTTCATATTAAAGTCTTACTTTTGAAGATAGGAAATTTATAAGTTTCCCGAACGTAGGTTAGATTTTGAGTGTTGAATATTTCCTTCTACTGTTGTTCACCCATTATTTCAACGTATAAAGTTGTTAATTTTGGATTGCGTAAGATGGCTGATGAAATTGCATCAGCAATGGAGCAGGAAATGGTGGAAGAACAGGCTATAAAGTGCCCAAGGCCTTCAGCAAAGAGGCAAAGGAAAGGATCTCCTGACGCCCGAGAAGAAACAGATAAAGAACGTGTAGACGATAGTCTTCTGCAAGATGCACGTAGAATCAAAGAAAACATCAGGGTCTACATGAACGCAACAGACAGGAACGTGAGTGCGAAGGTACAAAAGCACGTTAATGGGAAAATTCAGCAGTTAATAGATATAATGGAGACAATATATGATAAGAACTATAAAAAAAAACGTTTTTAGTACAACGTGTGGTAAAGGACACATTAGCTTCCTCTGAAATGTATGATATCATAGTAAATGCATTAGTGGAAAAAGCAGTACCTATGGTTATCGAGGGACTCAAGTCGGAAAGTAAAACCATACAAAGACCACTGTCAGAACCTCAGACATCTCGGGAGTTTCCATGCGTTAAAGAACAACCGCTATTAGCCGATGCCCACGCTATTATTGAGACCACGGAGAATGAAAGTTTCCAGGAAGTAAAGAAAAAGCAAAGAAGGAAAAAGGCTCTTCCACAAGTGGCCAAAGAGATCGAGGCCTCTAAACCAATATCAGAGGAAAGTTTGACCAAGAAAAGGTCTACACATCAGACTACGATGGCCGATATTGTTAAAGGGCTTCCATTAAAACCGATGGATACTACAAGACCAACTTATGTTACCATCGCTTCTCAAGGTAAAAGTGCAGCTGACATCATCAACAATCTGCCTTCTCCAACTGAACTAGGAGTCAAGGCGAGAGTTGTACGGGCGACCAAAGCTGGCTCAGTTTTAGTTTGTGTAGATGAGGGTGCCCATGCTAAAAAAATAATTGAATGGCAAAAATTAAAAGAAGTTGGGATGGAGGCAAAACTAGCCTTAAAAAGAAAACCAAAAGTGGAGGTAAAAGGAGTTCCCCTTTCATGGAGTGCGGAAAATCTAGAAAGGGTGCTATGGGAAAGGTTGGCTGCAAAATCGGCCGTTATTTCTGAGAACCAATTAGGTAATATAAAGCCATTGTTCTCATCAATGGCTAGAAATAAAATTACCAATAATTGGGTGTTAGAAGTACATCCAATGGTAAGATATAATCTACTCAAGGAGGAAATAATTACAGGAGGTTGGTGGTCACTGACAATCTTAGATTACCCCGATGCTCCTCCCTGTCTAAGGTGTCAGGGATATGGACATACAAAAGCTACTTGTGAGGCAAATGGCATAGTATGCAAGTGGTGTGCGGCGAGTGGGCATATTGCTAAAAACTGTCCCGCAAAAGGAAATAAGACCGCACCTACATGCGTTAACTGCGTGAGGGAAGGTGTTCAAAAAAGTAAGGCTAAACACCAGGCAGGAAGTAGAGAATGCCCAGTGCACATCAAGAGATCTCAAGAATTAGTGAGGAGAACTCACTATGATTAGACTCAACATCCTGCAGTTGAATATGGGCCGCCGGCATATTGTGGCTGACGAGCTTCGCGCCATGGCACAACGCTACGATATCATGGCGGTCCAGGAACCTAGCTGCCGTGGGAACAGGGTTACGGGGTTTGGCCTCACGTCAAGAGTTATAGCCCTGAGCAGTGGAGAGAGGAGGCCCAGGGCTGCAATAGTGATTAATAATCCTAACCTTGACGTGATGGATCTGAGACAACATACCATGGCGGATTATGCATCTTGCTACGTTAAGTGGGGCAAGATTTCTTTCACATTGGTATCGGCATACCTACCTGTGAATAGTGATGTAGAAGAAAGCATATCCGCTATGGAGGCGATCATTAGAGAGATGAGGAATGTGATCATGTGCTCAGATACCAACTCCTGGAACACGGTCTGGGGGTCCAATATTACTGACAGGCGAGGCGCTAAAATGGGAAATTTCATAGGCAGAAATCAACTTGTCGTGATGAACGAACCCTCTGCCACCCCTACCTTCTCTGGAGGCATGGGGCAGAGTTGGATTGACGTCACGATCGCCACGCCTGCGCTTACGAGGTATATTGCTGATTGGACTCTCAGATCTGATACGAGTTCCGATCACGTTGCGATAGCAATTGGCCTGGTAAATGAGCCAGGATGTTCCCACGGTACTGATAAGGGTTTCGTCACTAAAATAAATGACTGGAGTGTCTTCAGGTCCTACCTGGAAGGAGTGATTGCAGACGAGGAGTGGGAAGCGGCAGAGATGGATGTAGTTGACAATCTGGACTACAAGGTGTCCAGGATTACCAACAACATTCGTGCTGCTGCCGAACACTCCCTCAAGCACCGGAAGGCGAGGGTTCGACCTGTCCCATGGTGGACGCCAGCCTTAACTGTTCTAAAACGAGACCTCTACAAGGCCCGGCGGTCATATCAGAGGTGCAGATGCGAAGAGAGGCGCACTGTACTTCGCAATGAGTACAAGTCAAAAGCCAGGATATACCGAAACGAGGTTCGCTCACAAAAGCGGAAGTCTTGGGATGATTTCATCATTGAAGAGTCTTCGAAGAATCCCTGGGGTATTCCGTATAGGGTAGCATTGGGTAAGTTGTCCCCGATGCAGACTATTGCAGCCTTGCGGTATCATAATACTGAGGCAACCACCCTTGAAGAAACTGCCAATGTTTTCATTGAAGCAATATATCCCAGAGATGACCCAACCCAGGACAGCGAAAATGATGATTTTGTGAGACGCACCACGGTATATCCACCTGGTTCAGATTTGTGCCCACCATGGGACATTCACGATCTTCGTATTGCCGTGGATAAGCAGAAGACTAATCGTGCTCCAGGACTTGATGCAATAGATGCAGCGATCTTGAGGAACAGTATCACGTATATTGAAGACCGGCTGTTGAGTATTTTCAATGAATGTCTGGATATGGGATACTTTCCAAGAAGATGGAAGATCGCTGATTTGAGACTACTCTACAAGGGAGGAGATAGGGACAAACAACTCCCTAATTCATATAGACCTATATGTCTCCTCCCTGTGATTAGCAAGGTCCTGGAGAACCTCATGATGACTAGTTTACGGCCTGTTTTCGCTAGAGCAAGTCATCCACGGCAATATGGATCAACCAGAGGCAGAGGAACCGCTGATGCCCTGCTGAGAGTGCGCAGAGATGTTGAGGAGAGGGCGGAGCGGTATGTCATGTTGCTTCTTTTCGATATATCCTCCGCCTTTGACAGCGTATGGTGGCCTAGCGTGCTCCAGCAGCTGCAGAGGTATGATGCTCCTAGTAACTTATACACATTAGTAAGAAGTTATCTCCAGGATAGAAGTGTCAAGATTAGAGGCAATTACTACGAGGTAGAAGCTTCCATAGAGAGAGGTTGCCCTCAGGGATCGGTGCTTGGTCCTGCTCTATGGAAGCTCGTCTTTGATGAGTTACTGGGAGTGTTAGAGGAGGAGCGGTTTCCTGCCACTGCTTACGTTGACGACCTAGCTGCTGTGGTGGCCTCCAACAGCAGAGCTGGAGTCAAGAGAGAAGCAGAGCGATGCGCCAGCCTAGTCGCTAGATGGTGTGAGGGGAAGAAGATGAGGATGGCTGCTGCTAAGACTCAAGCCATCCTCCTTAAGGGAAAGACTGATAGGGCACACCCTATAACGATGTACATAGAAGGTCAGAGGATACGTCCAAGTGAGGTGGTAACCTACCTAGGGGTTAGGTTAGGTGTAGGCCTCAATATGACGCCTCATTTGGAATATCTGGCAGGTAGGGTGGCCCTAGCAATGAACGGTCTAAGTCGTGTGGGGGGCGCATTTTGGGGCCTTAGGTATCCAGCCACTATCACTATTTATAAGGGTGTTGTGGAGGGTATCCTTAGGTATGCGTCTCCCTTCTGGTTCCGAAACCTCACACTCAGACAAAGAAATAGGCTAGCATCGACTCAGAGAACTGCTCTGCTTCGGGTCACCAGAGCATATAGGTCTACGTCGCATGAAGCAGTGCAGGTCTTAGCGGGGGTGGTGCCTCTCGACCTCCTCCTGCGAGAAGAAGTGACCAGGTATGACTACAAGAAGGAGGGCTCAACTAGTCTATCGGAGAACCTACGGATGAGGATTATTGAAAACCCAAATAAATGGAAAAAGATTATCCGGGAGGAAACAATTGAAGATTGGAGCAGACGGTGGGTGACGACTCCGAAAGGCAGTACCTTAAGAAAATACTTTCCCACCGTTGAATCTCGGTTACAGGCGAAATGGGTCCTCCCGGACTATTGGGTTTCACAATTTCTCACGGGACATGGGGGTTTCAGAGCTAAACTCCATGGCTACGGACAGGATATAGATCCCCACTGCCCCGATTGTGGTGTTCCGGAGACTGTTGAGCATGTGGTCACGGCCTGCACTGCTTTCGACGAATTAAGAGCGAGGTTAATGAGAACCACGGGGATTTACGTCCTCACTGAGGAGGAGTTTCCTCAGTTGGTGAGTGAAGAAAACTTCCCGCGGTTCAAAGAGTTTATAAATGGCTGGAAGACGGCGGTGGGCCCAGCTCACTTTAACCTAGGTGCACGCAGGAGAAGAGGACCAGTCCCAGGAAGACCTCCGGATTCGGGAAGCCAGGCCTAAAGGAGCCAGGAAAAAGTAGAAGAGCTAGCTGTGTGCACAGCTTAGAATTTTGTAAACTGATATTATGGCAGTAGTGTGTTATTATGCATTAATGCTTAACATCACACTACTGCATACACCCGTGTTGCCCTGGTGGCATGGGAGGGTGGAAAACAAATAAAAAAAAAAAAAAAAAAAAAAAAGATATTAGCACAATCCAAAGTGTGAGGCACTAAGTGGATAGAGAGCTATTTATCTTTCTGATGGACTTCTCTATAACTTGACTTAAAGCGAAGATTGTCCCAATGTGCAACTTGAGTTTTTCAATCCATATTGCTTTGGCAATCGATAATATTTCTTATTCTAGCTTCTACGATTCTTGAGTAGAGCTTCTTCGTTACACTGAACAGGAATGAATCTCGATGGGTATTACATTTCATGGTATCTCCTTGCATATAAAGGGACAAAACTACATTAATTTTCTAATGGCATATTATTCAATATACATTGAAAAAGTGGAGAAATATATCTTCACATTTGTTGCCTATGTACGTGTAGAAGTTCGGTATACTTCATTCAGACCTGCTCATCATTGTTGCTACTATAGTGATCTCGAGATCAATTTGTTTCACACCTTCCTACTAACAGTTTTGCTAAGAGTAAGTTGAACATTTATGTTATGTTATCTTTATAATTAAATAAAGATTTTATCATTTTTCTGAGGTATATCTATTGCTGGTACCGATCCCTGT